TTTAATTTATATGTTTATTTATTAAATGTTAAATAACAAGTTTAATTAAAACAAAATTGAATTTATAAAAGATTTGTATTGGACAGATCGAAGTCAGTGTTTGTGCAAAAGAAGGCAATGTAAAGAAAGATAAGGATTTATAATTTTATGCTTTAATTCTATAAATTATTTTAATTAAAAGGTTATTAGAGTATATTAAACTTTATGAATTTTTGTCAGTAATTTAGTTTGGACAAGAAATTAAATTAAAAGACTAATAAGATCGAGATAGGGTCTTGTTAAAAAAAAAGAGATAAATAGTTAAATTTAGTAATTTTTTATTAATCTTTTAAGATGAAGTTGAAGTGAGCACTCTTACTTTTGATATTTAATAGTATTTTTGTTTCTTCTTAATCAGTTGTATTAATAGTTACTGCTACTTATAAATTCAATTGTCAAGTTTTATTCTGATTTATTTTCTCTTCTTTATATTGGTTATATTATTATAATTATTTTAAATTTTTGTGATAACTACTATTATGCATTATGTATATAGAAAATATTGAGTTGAATGAAATACACATATGATTGATATGAACTATATAGGCTGAATGTATATGCATACTTGATTATGATAAATTTCACCCTTTAATGATATTAACGAGAGAATGCTAAAGTACTCGTGCACGTAAATTAAAAAAATTGATATTAAAATACCTTAACTACTATAATTTTTAGACGTTGCTCCTGTGACTGTTGTGCATATATAAAATGATAGTTATATTATTGATATAGTAAAATACCTTGAGTATTATGAAATGTCGTGAGCAATTATATTCATAAACTATCAAATATTTTATACTGAATTATAAAAGTTCAAGTGACATTCATATTAACTTCATTTTCATTGTGTTATTATAGTTTGAAGTATGAGTATTCACTAGTTTTAGTTAGTTCACTGTTATTTTAAACTAGCATTTATGGTTTAATTAATTGATTAAAAAATGAGCAATGGAAGATAAAATGTTCATAGAAGATGCAGACAACCATAAATAAAATAAATTTAATTGTATTACTTTAATTTAATTTATATAGTGACTCTTTCATTATTAAAATGTTAGTTATAGAAAATGAATATAAAAAAATCTTATTTTTTGCCATTCAACTGTTTGTACCCGCCTTGGTTAATTCCAAGTCCTACGTTGGGTCGTGACAAAAAATAAGTGAGTGTATGAGTGGCTATAGAGGGCAATATAAGCAATCAATTCGACTATACAAGCTATTATAATAAAATCACAAAATATCTAAGTCTCACAACAAATATCCACTTAATGATAGGGTGATTACATTGATATCTATATTAGGTGTACGTAAATAAACTTTTCAGCACAAGTAATTAAATATTCTCATTTTGATTGGTATATACCATTAAACTTAAGATCAACACATATGCAATCAACCATGTAATGTAATGAGTATCCGGCAATAATTAAAATTAAATGTAAAGCAAGATGGGCACAAAATATTTTTATATGAAATAAGCCTATATCTACACATAATCCCACACCAGACTAGGATTCTAGTACTTCTACTCCTTGGCTTACTTGCCGGCGAAGAAATTATTATATCATTTTTCAAGGGAAAGAAGTGCCCATTTCTTAGCATGGCAATAGCCTTTATACCCAAAGTTTCTTCATGTTCTTAAAGGTTTGTCGCATATAATTCACAATTAAAACGTTTCAAAGTTTTCCATGACTTGTGATGACTTGCTTTGGTGATGACTTGTGGATCTCACCAAATAAATATCAGATATATAATCACTACCCTAGATAGATTGTAAAATATATGATAAAGGTCATTACAAAAGTTACCAAGGAGATTGAGAAAGTCAATCAAATAAAGCAAAGGAGCTTTTATCTTAACGAACACTTTAAGTTTTTCTTTCAATAAAACCTATAATAAAATAATGAAACTCTCAATCATTCATTATCTGTTTGGTATTTTCATTACTTTACATTTTCTAAATGATGAGGACTGAATAAATTCTCCAAGGCATTTCAAAATCTCACAAAATCTTCTATATAAGCTGCCTCTAAAACTACATTTCTAGCCATTGCTTTGCCGGCTAGGCAACATTGTAGCCTTTGAACAGGCACCGTTCGAGTGTTCAGATATGGGCTGTCTGGTGTTATAAAAAATGGATAGTTGTTTGGTAAATATTCAAAACATTTATATAATAAATAACTTAATTAATATAACATTGAATTATAATATATTATATATCTGCATTTAAGTAAAACAACTCAATGAAACTAATGGAATATAAGTTAAGATCATATTCATTAAATATATCATTATTATCAGATTAATCATCAAATGGATGATGAGCATATTAAGCAAAATTTAGTGAAATAGTTTAATCTTTTAGAATCGATTAAATTTTCCATACAGAGGACCTGGTAAAGGAATTTAATTAGTTATCCTTATACACATGTTCTTTAATTAAGTGAATGATAATATAAGTAACCTAATTATTATAGAAAAGAAATTTTAGCAAATTATATTTAAATTTTAACATGCGGTATATGATGCATCCAATTGAACATGTTGAACTATAAGAGTATGTAGTTCGTTGAAAAGTAGATTTATGAGAATACTTTAAATACTTGTGCAGTTATAGCAGTGGTTGCACTTCCTTATATATATATAAAGTGTGTGTGTGTGAGAGAGAGAGAGAGAGAGGGTGTGTGAGAGAGAAAATAAGCTTGATGATTCATGAAGTTGTGTGGTCAATTTAGTAAGGGTAATGTTATAGCAATGAAAAAAATTATATGTTATTGATCAATTTTAAATGATATATAGCATGATTAGTGTCATAATGCATAACTTCCTAAATAGCTAAGGGAAACAATGATATTGCATTACATAAATCCTTACCTTATTGTTGTCCACTGTCAGAAGATGTTAGTATGGATTTTGTACTAAGGATGCCATGAACTTTGAAGTAGCGTTGTTCCAACTTTGTCGCAGTGGTTTGAATTTTTTAAAATAGCACATTTAATCTTTTTAATAAATCAACTGATGTGTCATATCTGTCTTAAATATTTTAACGAGGTTGTTAAATTACATGGATTGCTAAACTATTGTGATTGATAGAGATGAAAAATTAATAGTTATTCCTATACAACTCTGTCAAGAAAAAGGATATTTAATTAATATTTCAACTACTTATTGAGCATACTTCTTTGTGATCAAACTTCTAAGACCCTTCTATGGCTTGTGCAACCCCCATAGCTTCTGGCACTAGATTTCTGATTTGACATTGTATTTCTACAATTTTTTAAAATACTATTTTCTTCATTTTATTTTAGCGGCCACCATACTCCAATTTTTGCTATATTGCTGTATTCATTGGGGTATTTGGCAATCTTTCTTCTCATGTTTTGGATTTTGGTCGTACTCTCATTCTTTCTTATCAGAATCTAGTGAGTTTGACTACCGATTTTTCTAACATTGTCTTGCACAACTAAAGCAAACAGAGAAACGAAATTTTGGTTTTCTTGGTATGATCACTCAAATGCATCTTACAATTGGATGGTATTACTGTATATGCTTGCTATATTTTATTGAACGAACTTCATTTAGAATCTCTAGTTGATCCCATTTGGATTTAATTCATCTAAAAATAGAAAGGAGTGATTTAGTGTAACAAGTTCTCCTTTCTGGCAATGAATGTAGGCCTTGAGCTGAGAAGGTTTCCATTACTTGGTGATTTCTTTTTGGGCATACTACCCAATCCCTATGTATTTACATATCTCAACACCTAAACTTTACTTTTTTACATTTATACCACCCAAATCTTTCATATCGCATAAAAAATAAAACTATTTTAACATTTAGAAGTGAAATACACCTTTTCATGCATAGTTAAGGTGGTGTATATGTGAAAATTGAATTTTAGGTGTTGGATATGTAAATACTGGTATGTTTGTAAATTTTCCTTTCTTTTGTTAAGCAAGCTTTCTATAAAGTTAGCTGCATTTATTTTATCGAAGTTCTAAATAATTTTTTTAATTTTTTTTTAAATTACTTTATTTGCGTTCTCATATCCTGTCATTTTTCATTTTCATTTTTGTTAAAGTTTTCATGGCTCCATATTTTTATTACTATTTTGTATTGCTTCTGTAGTCCACATAGTAAGGGTACACTTTGAACTATATATGTTATGATTTTTTTTCTTTTTATTTTTTATTTTTTATTTTTATTTTTTTTAATTATTTTTTTGCTGATTTTGTTGTTGGCAATGTGGGGTTTACTTGTGAATTTGCTGTGCAGTCTCAATTTTATGCTTGTTGGGGTTTTAAGAACTAGTTTGCACTTATGGGACTGTTCATGGACTATATTCAGCAGATGTCTCTCTTGAATTTTTTTTTATAAATAATTCTTGGTTAAATTCTATTTCTATATATTGTCATGCTCTTTTATTAATATGAACTTATATGTGAAATTGTGAAAATTAATCTAGTAGACATCTGGGCATGGTGGCTCTACTGTGATTTTTTTTATCAGATGAGCTACCATGTTGTGCCCATGTTTGTGCCTTTTTACTGTGGGTAACTTATTTTTCTTTTTGCTTATTTTATTATTTGATTTTCAGTCAAAATGCTTCATTTCTAATGAAATGCACATGCTCTTTATTTGCCAATATGTGAATGTATTTATAAATTCTTTTTGGTAATGCTCCGTTGTTTAGGTTGTTGATTAACGCCCTAAAATTTCTACATAGTGTTTATATTGGAATTTAAATGGTATGTTAACATAGATGTTCATAAAATCTTCTTTTGAGCTTTGACTGAAATTTTGTAATGCTTCACCGCACCGGGTTGATAATTTGCCTGATGTTGGTTGTTGATTATCACACTCAAATTCCCACTTGTAATTATCATATACTACAAACATTGGTTATTACAAAAATATTTTTATGGATCTAAGTGAAACTTTGTAATGCTTCGCTTCATCAGGTTGATAATCTACATAGGCATGTCATTGCATGTGGGCTGAATAAGAAGATTGATCTGGTTATCACTTCTCCTTTGTTGAGGTACATATGCTAACTGTGGTCTACAAATTAACATATCATTCCTTTTTGGTTGCATTATTATTTTGTTTTTTTTTTTAATTCACTAGTAAGAATATAAACACCGTGTAGAATTCAAGTTGATTACAAATTTTAAAAGGTATGGTTTTCTTTAAAGCCTCCTCAGTATTTTAGAAGAAGATTTTTAATTTAGGCGGGTGAGCTATTTTGATAAATTTTTGAATGAAATTTTTGAAAATATGATCGATGATAGTGATTTTAATATTGTTAATAATAATAAAACGTTTATTTTTACCATCACATTAGTAAAAAAGAAGTTCAAGAGACTTTAAAGAAAATCAAGGGTGGAGAATCAATAGGATTTGATGATATTCCAGTTAAAGTGTGGAAATAATTAAGAGATTTGGGAGTTTCTTGGCTTACTAAACTTTTTAATAGTATTTTCAAAACAAAAAGGATGCCCGAAGTGTGGAGGAAGAGTATTTTTGTTCCCATTTTTAAGAATAAAGGGGATGCACAAGAATGTCAAAATTATAGAGGAATTAAGTTGATGTATCATGCTTTAAATTTATAGGAAAGGGTAATTTAACATAGCTTAAGACGTGATAAAAAAATTTCTTATAATTGGTTTGGATTTATGCCGAGCAGGTCTACTATGGAAGCTATACATTTATTGAGTGGTTTGATGGAGAAGTACAGAGAGTAAGGAGGATCTACATGTCAATTTTATCTATTTAGAAAATGCTTACAATAAAGTTCCAAGAGAAGTCCTCTGGAGAGTTCTAAAAAAGAAAGGTGTTGATATGGCTTATATTCAAGTCATTAAGGATATGTATATTAGAGTTGTTACTTGTGTTCAAAGAAAATGTTGATTGACCAAGTATTTTTTTTATTTCAGTTGGATTACATTAGAGATCAATTTTAATCCCATATCTTTTTTACTTTCGTTATGGATGCTCTTACTGGACATTTACTGGAGGATGTAACTTGGTGCATACTTTTCGCTAATGACAACCTTCTTGTGGATAAGACTAGAAAAAGAGTTAACAACAACAACAACAACAACAAAGCCCTTAATCCCACTACGCGGGGTCGGCTACATGAATCTTTTTTCTTCATTGCGTCCTATTTAGTGTCATATTTTCATTTAGTTCTAGTACCATTTTTTATACAATAAGCCCAAGTCTTCATAGATCTACCTCTGTCTTTCTTAACACAAGTCGAATCTAAAACATCTACGACGTTTAATGTGACCAAACCACTAAGACGACTTTCTATAATTTTGTCTGTCACAGGAGCTACACCATCCCTATCATAGATATATTCATTTTTTGTCTCTAAGTGTAAAGTCCCTCATGTACATAATCATTCTCTTCTCTGCAACACTTAACTTATTATTATGCTTCTCTTTTAAAGGCCAACATTCAGCACCATAGAGCATTGCATGTCTCACCATCGTCTTATAAAACTTTCCTTTCAGTCTAAACGGTATTTTTCTATCACACAAAAGGCCCGAAGCATTCCTCCACTTCAACCAACCAACTTAAATTCTACTATTAACATCCCCATCTATATCACCATTGCTTTCAACAACGAACCCAAGATATCTAAATCGTTCACACCTTTTAATACTTTGATCACCCAAAGTCACACTTCTGTCACTAGAGCTACTACTACTAAAGTGACATTTCATGTATTCAGTTATAGTTTTATTTAAATGAAGGCCTTTAAACTCCAATGTAGACCTCCATAATTCAAGTTTTTCTTGAGTTTTTTCTCTCGTTTTATCCACGAGAAGGATATTATCAGCAAAAAGCATATACCAAGGTACATCCTCCTATAGATGTCCAGTAAGACCATGCATAATTAAAGAAAAAAGATATGGGCTTAAAGTCGATCCCTGATGCAATCCAACAGAAATAGGAAAATATTTGGTCAATCCTCCTTTAGTTTGAACACCAACAAGTAGCAACTCTAGTATACATATCTTTAATCTTGAATATAAGTCATATCACCACTTTTCTTCTCAAGAACTCTCCAAAGAATATCTCTTGGAACCTTATTGTAAGCTTTTTCTAAATTAATAATGTAGATTCTCCTTATTATCTCTGAACTTCTCCATCAAACCTCTCAATAAATGCATACCTTCCATAGTAGAGCTGCCCGGCATAAATCCAAATTGATTATGAGAAATCTTTGTAGTACATCTTAACCTATTTTACCCTCTCCCATAATTTTAAATTCTCTCATAACTTTAATGTATGACACATCAACTTAATTCTTCTATAATTTGCATACTCTTATGCATCCCCTTTATTCTTAAAAATAGGGACAAAAATACTCTTCCTCCACTCCTCAAGCATCTTTTTAGTTTTTAAAATAATATTAAAGAGTTTAGTAAACCAAAATACTCCCAAATCTCCTATATATTTCCACACTTCAATTGGGATATCATCAAGTCCTGCAGACTTTCCACCATTTGTTTTCTTTAAAGCCTTCTGGTAGCTCTAGTGACAGTTGAAATTATGGGTAATCATATCTCAAAAGGTGTGAACGTTTTAAATATCTCAGGTCTATTGTTCAAAGTGATGGTGATATAGAAGGGGATGATATTAGTAGATTTCAAGCTGGTTGGTTGAAGTGGAGGAATGCATCGAGTCTATTGTTTCATAGAAAAGTACCGCTTAGACTTAAAGGAAAATATTATAAGATAGTGGTGAGACCCGCAATGCTCCATGGCGCATAATGTTGGCCTTTAAAAGTGAAGCATAAAACAAAATTAGGTGTTGATGAGATGAAAATGCTTGGGTGGATGAGTTGCTTAACACTTAGAGACAAAATGCAGAATGAATATATCCCTGATAGGGTTAGTGTAGCTCCAGTGGCGGACAAGATTAGAGAGTGTCGTCTTAGATGATTTGGTCACATTAAACGTTGACCTTCCGATGATATAGTTAGGAGAGTAGATATTTTAGATTCAACTTGTATTAGGAATGGCAGAGGTAGACCAAAATAGATTTAGGCATAAAAATGATCTTAATCTATTAGAATTAGATGAAAATATGACACTCAATAGGACGCATTGGAGAAAAAGGATTCATATAGCTGACCGCACATAGCGGGATAAAGGTTTGATGTTGTTGTTGTTGTTGTTGTTGTTGTTGTTGGGAAGCATGTGACAAATCACTTAATAGAAATATCTATTAAAACAATGAGCTATAAGCAAACTTGAAATCTCTCCCCTGCAACCTGGTTTCAAATAGTACAGGCAAAGAGTCCCCATCTCCTCAAATTAAGATCGGTGCTATGAAACTGCAACTATCCTCACTTAAGAAAAAGGCCTTTTAGCCCTAGAAAGGGAAAAATACCTCGACCACTATGAATGTACCAACAATGCAATTTCCCATATTCTAATGTAGCTACCTCATAGTTATATTCAAGTATCTACCTTCCACAAGCCTAAACGACTAGTGTATATGCCTACTAGTGTTCTAATAAAATGAACAACTAGAAGATAAATAATAATAAATTACTTGTTATAAAATATAAAATATTAATATGTAAACAATTTTAATTATTAAAAGATAAATCCTTAATTTTTTAGTATATTTTGAGTATATTTTGTTCTAATATAAAATAACATAATGTGAACTCATGTAAAGATGTCATCTCCCACGCCCGACTCTGCTAGGGTTTCGACCCATGTCGAACCCTAGCAACCCTTATCGCATTAAGATCATTTCTCTGGCTTCGTCTCTCCATTGTCTTCGTCGTCGTCGTCTCGCGTCTTGTCGTCTCTATTCGAAGCCAACAGAGTTTACATCTTGTCGTCTCTGTTTGATTACATCTCACGGAAGACGGGAAGGGGTCGCGTGCTCATTTCCTCCTTTGTCTTCCTTCTTGACTCAGCTCGACAGCACCGAGTGTTTGGTCTCTTCGGTTCTTGACCGTCTTTGGCTCGTCATTCCTGCCCTCTGACTGACTTGGCTGGGCTTCTAATTGTTGTGATGAAGCTTCTTCGGTTGAATCTGACAAAGCCTCTTTTGCCCACGTGGTGGGTAATCTTCAGGTGGAAACGGTAGTTGTCTTCTCTTCAAGTCATAAGAAATATCGTGATGGTACAGATGACTGCCCATTTATTAAGAATGCGAGCAGAAAAAGTGAGAAAATAACACTTCTTTCGCGGAGATAGAAATTTCAATCATGACTGACAAATCCAAGTTTGCTCTTATTAAAAAAATTTAATGGGAGCACCCACCTATGGAAGTTATCAGGAAAAGTTTTGATGATCTCAAGTTAGCAGTAAACTGGAAAGTGAGGCTCATGGATGGGAGACATGTGTTGATTCAATTAACCGTGGTTGAAGACTACACTCAAATTTTCTCCAAAAATATCTCAGCATTGCTGGTAAATCAATGAAGCAACTCAAGTGCTCTCCTGATTTTAACCGCAATCATGAACCTCCTACTGTACCGGTATGGTTCAGTCTACCAGGTCTTCATCAGGTTCATTACTCTATTGGGGTCATACTTAGTGACGCTATGAAGCTAGATCCACTGACTTTCAACCTAACCAGATCTTCTGTGGCCAGAATACTTGTGGAAAGAGATATTACTTTACCTGATATTACTGAAGTCTTGTTGGGCTGTTGGGCACAACTCATAATCACAACTCATAATGGATATTGACAACAAATCATCATGGAGCATAGACCACTTTACTGTTCTCATTGTAAGATGTTTGGGAATACACTTGATAAATGTCATAATTTTCATCCTAATTTGAAATCTAAAGATCAAGTGAATAAGGGAAATCTAAAGATCAAGTGAATTTGAAATCTAAAGATCAAGTGAATAAGGATGATCTAATTCCACTACTTTGAACATATTTGTTCCATATGGAGAGAAAACTACCACGAAACAGGTTTTGGATATCGCTAAAGATCAGCCACCTACCATCCTTGCTGAAAAGGTGCAAACCGATCATTTACCCAACATCGCAGTTCCTGATGAAGACATCATACTACAGGTACATATCCAAAAGTGTTTATACCACTCACTATTATTGAAAAAGACTCACTTACATGTCAAGACACACGAGAGTGCTTAAGATCAGCTGGTACAACAAGCAATTACTTCTAATGTTCAACATCCTACACATGTCCGACACACTAGACCAATCCACTGATCAGGCAAGCCAAACTTCGGATGAGGAATGACAAGTTTATTTCAGGAGGAAGAAGAAGACTGGAGGCCGACTCGAGCTTGGAAACTTATTGGATGATATTTTGGTCACTACTGGCAATGAATGACACTTATTTTATCAATTTATTAGCTGGCTCCTTTCCTAGAACTAGAGATAGAGATAAATTAAAATTAGGTTGCTCTCTAGCTATCTGATACTATATTTTTTGGCATTTTTATTTTTTTTCTTTAGGTCTCTTGTAATTTTTTGTTTTTTTTTTGAATCATTTGTATGTGATGGTTATTGTGGGGGAAGGTGTCATGCTTGGGCCCTTTCACATAATCTATATATATCTTTATTTCCTTTTAATATATTAGCATTTGAGCTTTCTCAAAAAAA